TAGGGTTGGCCATCGAGGTGCAGTTCCAGTCTTGACTGTCATTCCTCCGTGCACTCCTCTAGTGAACAGGTTCTGGAAGTGCAGCCTGATGGCAGAGGATTTGGGAACCTCTGAACAGAGCATATTGGGCACAGACAAGGGAGTTTAATTTCCTTAAACTTAACATCATGCCAGGATAATCTCGTTCAGGAGAGCGGTGTCTGGAACGAGGAGGATCTTTAGGTGCAGTAGGTTTGTGGAGTTTCAAAGGAAGGGAAATGGCTGGTGCTTCTGGAGAAAGATGCCTGCTGGCACAGCCCATCTTCAGAGCTTTATTGTCACATCCAACCCATCTTCAGAGCTTTATTGTCACATCATGAAACACAGATCATTTTTTTAATTTTTTTTTTTTTTTTTTTTTTTTTTTTTTTTTTACTTCCTGCTTTACATCCACTCAGCTTTGATGATGTCATGGTTTTTCCATGTGGGAAAGAGTCAGCTCGCCTGGGACTCCCCCCACCTCCTACATCAGGGCGACCTGCACTTTTATGCAAATAAGGAAGAGCTGCAGCTCTTCAGAACTTTTCCATAACTATGTGAGATTTAAAAACCTGTTTTGACCTGTTTAAGAAAAAAAAAAACAACCTTTAAAATAGTGTTTGAAATTTACATTCCCTGATAAAAGCAGGAGAGCAAATCCTTTAACTAATGCAAATTAGCAGGTTTATTGATTACAAAAATAATCGTTGCTATAAATTGCCTGAGTATTTAACTTTTTAATCACTGTGGGTTTACTGCAGAGTAATTTTTAATATAGAAATATATATTCTTAATAAGGAATATAAATAGAATTTTAGCATTTTCACTTCTGTTTCTGCCCTTGCTTTAGGAAAAGCAGCATCCCTGCTTTTCAGAGCTTTTACACCCTTCTCAAAATTCATTTCTTACACTGTATCTTATCACACTAATCAACATCAATTAATTTATTTAATATTCTACGCCGAAGATCCTGCTAGTTGCTGAAATCCTGTCACATGTGCTTCAGTTTTCAGAACTTGGGCATTCAGTGTGTGAAGAAGAAAGACCTGAAGGAATCGATTTCTTTACGAATCTCCAAGAAAATTAACCCTTTCAATGGTGAGTGGAAATGAAAGCAGCTGGTTCACTTGGCAGGGTGGTGGTGGTTTCTTTGGTCCTGTCCTGCCTTTGCTTCTGTGGTGGAGCTTGATTCTTTTTCCCCCCCTACCCCCCCCAAAAAATCCCTTTCTGAGAAACAGTCTTCCCCTTCTGTGTCCCTCCCAGCCTTTCTTCCCTGTCATCACACGATGAATCTATTTGGGTAGTTGCCCTTTTATTTTTATCATTACTGTTTAATTTTTTTAATTCCCAGCAGCAATCTGAGTGGCTGCTTGGACAGGAGTGGGATAGCAGCAGAAGTGTTTCCTGGAAACGTCTATAAGTGCCTTGGGAATTGAATTCCCCAGTTTTGGCAGGGATGAGAATAAAAGGCTGAATTAGCATAACTCTGCAACAACTTAAGCCAGTACAAATCTCATTTGCCACTGTCCCATCTCTTGTCTTGCTGTGACCCTGGTGGCTGTGACCCCTCAGGCACTTCAGGGGGCTGAGAGACCTCTTGGAGTTGCCCTTTGCTTGATTTTTTTTTTTTTTGTTTTTTGCAGCATGGGAGCTGGTCCAGGCACTTAGAAATCCACAGCAGGACTATGATAGCAAGGCCAGGTTGGACAGGGCTTGGAGCAGCCTGGTCTAGTGGAAGGTGTCCCTGCTCATGGCAGGAGGTTGGAAACGAGATAATCCTTAAGATTTCTTCTAACCCAAGCCATTCCATGATTCTGTGGCTGGTCTCAGTCAACTCTGAGGCAGGTCATGCTGCCACAGAACCACACCTGGGAGGGCCTCCCCACAGGGTTTTGTTTGATGTGACGACTGATCTGTGGGCTGCTCTCAAAAAGAGTCATCCTGCTCTTCCCTCCATCCCTGCTCACACACTCCCACCACTTCCCTCACACCACACAGGCTGCGTGGCTACGTGGGGAACGGGCTCAGCAAGTTGCTCCAATGGAAAACCAGCTTGGGAAAAAAAAAAAAGTGGTTTCCCCTCAGATCAACTTGCTAAACCAATTAATCTCACAGCCATAGAAGTGCCAAGTTCAATACACAGAGGGGATGGGGAACACGCCGCGAATTTTTGGGCCGACTAGAGTAAGACCAACACGTTCAGAATGCAGGCACGACTGGGGGGAGTGAGGTGAAAACATAAATACCCCCCAACTGTTAGTTCAGTATTGTGAATGCAGTCATGTATTTGCTTAAGCGGGGCATGAGCTTGGAGATTTTTCCAAATGCTTTTACTTTTTTTTAATACTCACAGAATTCTGGCTGTATTCAGGCAAAATCCTTCTTGGAGAGATAACAGCTGGATTTCTGGCTGGCTTTAAAGTGTGCCTGAAATGGGACAGAAAAAGAATTATGTTGAATTTATTACAGAATGAGAAATGTCTTAGATGTTTCTCCTAACTTTAGAACAGCCCCACTGATGGTCCCAATGACCCATCTAAGCAATTATCTTAGTTATGATAACGAGTACAAAAAATAGCACAAACTGTTTTGACACAAGTTTAGTTCATCAGCACAATTTAAGCATTTTAAGGGTTTGAATTATGTTGCCTTGACTCAGCCAGCTGTACCTTGATTTCAAACAATAGAAGGGGAACTCTGCTGTAGAAGGAAGTCAAGTTTTACAGTTGTTGGCACTTAACTCCACGCTCACTAATCATTTTTGGGCGATTGCAGCAGGTTGCGCTTGGTAGCATCTGGGCAGATCCTGGGATGCTTCCTGCCAACCCAGCAGTGGAGGAGGCCAAATTCCTGCCCTGGCAGCAGGGGAGAGCCTGCCTGGGTGACACACAGGGCAGCACCTTACTCTGGGCATGGGCTGTGCTGAGAAGGGGCCGCTGGCAATCCCCGCCTGCGTCATCGCCTCTCGGCGCATGTTAACGTGTCAGCACAAAGCAGAGCCACTGGGGAGCAGCCTCCAGGGCAGTCTCACGCTGAGCAGAGTCCAGAAAGGCATGGGACCAAGGTTTTATTAGAAACAGGGCTAGTGACAGGAATATTTTTATGTGTTTATTTAGTGGATCGAAACAGGACTCGGTGAGCAGCAGTCACCGCGTTGCTCGCTGCTTGATAAGGTTGAAAGTTTTATGTATGGATTTAGTTTGTTTTATAAGGTCAGAGGAGTGTTGTTACATTCTCCAGGATTGTGCAGCTCTGTTGTATCCATCCTGCTTCGTGCTTTACTTCTGTGTCTTCAGAAGGACATCTGAATTCTCTGTTTTGAGACATTTCGGAGTTGTGCATCCTTAAGCAGGTCGCAAGTTGGTGTTACTCATTTCTTGTAGGAACACCATCAAAGAAACTTCATGGAAAACCAGCCTTCAGGGCGTTGGTGTGTTGGTTGTCTTTTCTTTTTCTTTCTCACTTTCTTCTGGAACAAACAGGCCGTGTCCTGAGTCTCCTTTCAGGGCAGAGTTTCAGCACTGACCCTGTTAACAGATGCAAAGTGCCTCTGGCCTGCCAGCATGTGCATTACTTGCCTTGTTGGTAAGGGATGAAGTAATAGCAAGGCGTGGGTCCACAAGGTTGCATTCCAAACTTCCTTGTGTAAAGGGCCCATCACCTTCCAGTGAAGCCCGGGTGCCACAGACAACTGGGATGGCGAAGGGAGAGTAAATCCCAACAGCTGCTCTCTGGTGGTGTCATCCCTCCTCCACGCCTTCCTGCACAGTGAGTGGGAGTCACCGTCAGCAGCCATAGGGAGTTGCTTGGTTGAGCTGTGTGGGATTTAAGATCGCTTTCTCCAGCACTCTCACCTGTACTGTTGAAACAACTGATGCCTATCTCTGAATTCCTGGATGATGGGAAGTCAGAGTTTGCAGATGAGGCTGCGTGCCAAGCTGGAGATACCTGCACTGGGGTAATTCTGGAAGTGTACCTGTAAGACTCTCTCCTTGGGAATTCCCACTGTTAGCTGGCAGCATTTACCCCTGGGGAAGTTCAACGCAGGCTGTACAAGCTGTGTGCATTCACTGAGTTGCAATGGGATGACTTGCAATTGGGTTGCTCTTCTTTTGTAGGCCTCGTTCGAGGGAGAACTGATGTTTCCACACAGTGTTTGTGATCTGTTGTGTTCCCAAAGTACACCCCATATATTTTTGTCCTCTAACAATCTGAACAATTCTAGAAATCCCTTTTGCCTCTCATCCCTGAGCACTCCAGGGAAATGGGGCACGGTGCCTAACGTGGAACTAGGCCTCCTTGGCATGATGATGATATAAATAGCCCGGCATGGAAGGAGCAGAGTTACTCCTCCAGTGGAGCTGGTCCATGTCTGCTTTCTATGGTGTTTGTTTTCTTTTAGTAGCTGTTGAGTTGTGCCATATCCTTGTCTTCCCATGCACTGTCTGATGTACGGCCAACTCAAATTAAAAGAAGAGCCAGTTTTCAGTTAAGAGCTTTTGTGAGTGGGTGTGACTTGACATAGAGACAACAATTGAGTTAATAACAGCTCGAGTTAATTATCAATGAGGAAAAGCCCTAAGTGTTTTCTTTAAATTTAGGGGAAAACTGTACTTAGTGCAGCATTACAGAGGACTGACCTTTTTCTAGCCAAATGCATGAAAACCCTGGGCTTGCCTTGGAGAGAGAAACCCAGAGAATCACCGAATTTGAGGCAGATCATCAAGAGGGTGAAAACAAGCTTTCCCTGGAGCTTGACGCGGGCTTAAAGGTCTTGTTCCTTTGTGATTGCTCTGGCTATAAGCGTGTGGTTGGTTTTCAGGCTCCCCTGCACCCCGCAACTAAAAACGCGGCTCCGTTGCCTCCGCGGTCTTTCCTTTCCTTTGCCGTTTCCCCTTTCCGCCCGCAGGCAGCTGACCCCGCGTCGGCTCCGCGCTCGTCACCGTCTCCGCTGTGACGCCCCCTCCACGCCTCTGCTCTCACACTCTGCTTCCTGCCCACACTGACACCCTCCCCGCAGCTTCCCTTCGGGCCCTGTGCCGCTGCATCCACGAGATCCCCTCTCCTCTGACGCCACTCGCCCACTCGGCCAGGATCCCCCCTTTCCAGCCCACCCCAAGCCTGCTTTAAAGTTGCCCTTTGTAGGGAGGTTTGTGGGGCCGTGGGTTCTGTGAGCAAAGAAGCAAAATATTATGAGCCGAGGGAAGACTCTTGGCAAGAATCCGTGAGCTGGGAATGGGTTGAAGGTGTCCACTGTCTTGAGTGCCTTGGGTATTAAAAGAAACTTTTAAGCTTCTTTTCTCGCATTAAAACAAATGTGCAAACCCCCAGCTAAATTCTCTGGCTGAAAATCCTGGTGAGAGTCGTCAGCTTTTCAAAGAGGCAACCTCACTCGAGGAAAGCTGCGTGTCCTGATGGTGACATGACTGAGAGCTCCATGTCCTGATGGTGACATGACATGATTTTAGCACTGAGCTTTGGAAAGCCCTCTGTTCTCTCGTTCCTCGTGCAAGTCCTTCTCGCTGTTTATGCTGAAATGTGTATATTATTAATCTAAAGGACAGCCCCTTCTGAAGTTGTTTAAAAAGGAAAAGGAAAATTACCAAGTAGACAAAAAATGCTGACTTAGTTTTCTTTTGTAATATAAACAGAAACTGCTAAAAAATGTACAGAAGCTGATATGTTCACTTAAATCTGTTCCAGTTTTGCCTTTTTCAGATTGAACTTGAAACAGGAAAAGAAGCCAGAGAAACATTGTCTAGGCAAAACAAGAACTGAGTTTTAGAAGTTTTAATTTATTTTCCCAGGTCTTGCTTTGGCTTTTATATGAGGCCAAGCCATTTGTCTTCCTCATGTCTCTTTCTTCTGTGAAACATGGAAATGTATCCATAGCAGTTTGGGCATTTTTGATGTAGGTTGGCATCTGAATTTTAGTTGTTTGCACACATCAACCCGCTGAAGATTTTGGTTTTTAAAAACTGAGTGTTGCTGGCACATGCTCTGTTTCAAGGTACATGTAAAAGTTTCTCTTTTCTTCTGCATGACTGATTGAAAATTATCTTTTTGTGAATCTCAGAGGTATAGAACCAGGCATGGATGTGCTGGGAGAAGAAATATAGTGCTGCCATGGTCCTTCCCTCCCCTTGTTTCCAGCTTCATCAGGACTCTTTGTCAGGATCTGTAGTGACAGGATGAGTGTTCAAACTGAAAGAGGGGAAATTTAGGTTAGTTATATGGAAGAAATTCTTTGCTGTGAGGGCAGCGAGGCCCTGGCCCAGGTTTCCCAGAGAAGCAGTGGATGCCCCAACCCTGGAAGTGTCCAGGGCCAGGTTGGATGGGGCTCTGAGCAACCCAGTCCAGTGGAAGGTGTCCCTGCCCATGGCAGGGGGTTGGAACTGGATGAACTTTAAGGTCCCTTCCAACCCAAACCATTCTATGATTCTGCCTCTCGGGAGATGCTGGTAGATGGATTTATGACTCTGGATGTGCAGCTGAACAGCCTGGCTTGTCATCCACTGCTGTGTGTCCAGGTGCTGAAGCCCAAATGGAGCACAGTGTTCTGCTGTTGGCATCAGGGAACAAACAGCACACCGGGATGTCTCTTTGCATGTGGCTCATTTGGAAACAGTAAATGTGGCATTAAAATAGCTGGTGAGGTCCTTTTGAGCTGTGTGGAGTTCAGCTACAGGAGACACCAGTCAAACACTTGGGCAGCTCAGTGTGTGTTGTGTTTCTTGTCTGCTGTGGGGCTTCCCAAGGCTCCACTGGCACAGCTGTGGCTGCAGTGTGGATGTAGGCTGGTGGGGGTAAGCTGGATCTAAAATGCACCTCCCAGGCACCAGGAGGGACCTGTGACTGGCAGCCCATGTCCCTGACTGTTTGAACCTGGCATAAATCAGCACCAGCACTGGAAGAGGCAGCCCTTCCTTTCCCTGCGTCCGCTTCCACCAATTCCCTTGCGCCAGGGCTACCTTGTCGTGGGAACCAGCTGGCTGAAAACAAGCCTTTTCCTCTTTCCTTCTGGCAAGATAGTTCTGAGCCAGACCAGTTCCTTGATCTGATTTACCACATGAGAGCTAAGCCCAGCCTAAGAGCAGCGCTGGAAAGGTTGGGCAGAGCCAGCCTTTGGCAGCAAAACCTTTGGCGTGGACCGAGTTAGACTGCCCAGTCGGTATCAGGGCCAGGGGGGGTATCTTTGTACTCCAGGAGCAAAACCCTCGGGGCAAACCACCTCTGTGTCATCCCTTAAACGAAACTGAGCTCCCAGCGTATCCCTAAATTAAAAACCCTCATCTGCGTAAGAGAGGAACAGCTCATGGTGGTTATTAATGATGTGTGTTCCCCAGCCATCTCGGGCTGGTTTTGTTTGTGGGAGGTCGTTCTCTTTGACGTCTCACGTGCCCCTGCAGCCCCTCACCGAGAAGGGAAGGTCACAGAGCCCTCCCCGAGTGTGTCACGCCACATCCTTTGCCCTGGAATTTTCCACGCAGGTTAAGTTGAGATGCTCAAGTCCCCCCAGCTCTGCCCACTCCAGGTTTCTGACATCATCAGCTGAGTGGAGGGCTGTGTGTGAGGGACCTGCTGCCTGATCAGATGTCACGTTATCAGACAAAAAACCAAACCCTTCATCATTTCTCTTCAGTGTTCAGAATAAACTTTCGCTTTCCCTGCAGCATCACCTTATGGGTGAACATCAGATTTCATCAGATAAATGGTATTTTATGGGCCTTGCTAGATGTTGAAGGCTGATAAACTACTAAAAAACTATAAAACTATAGCTAGAAATTAATAGGAAGAAATAGGAGATCTGATATTATCAGCATCTTTCTGTTGTGTCCGCACTTGGACTTGCATGATGGTGGTTTGGACCCAGAAAGTCTCCAGTTCTGAATTAGAGGCAAATCCAGCAAGTTCTCAGTGGAATCCCAGCAGGGCATCTCTGGCCTTTAAAGCCAAAATCTGGGAGACAGGGACAACCCAAACCTAATGCCTGTGTCACGTGAGCTGCCTGGATTATCCAGCTCACGTTGGAAGTTCACTGTTTAGCTCATGTGGGATGTTTTTCTGCCCCCCGTTGGGACTGTATCAGTCTCTTCCCATATTAGCAGATAATGGATTAGGGAATTATTTCCAAGATAATTATTTAAGTTGGGGAATCAGCATTTTGTTCTGAAGAGTTGTAAACAGATTTATAATGAAAGGATTCACCAGTTGTTGCAGCCCCTTTTTGGATGAACAGCGAATCCTCCTGGGGTTTAACTGTAACTCCGGGTACTGCTTTGGAAATCCTATTGCCAGAACCCTGGTGGGTAGGGTTGGGTTCTTTTTGCTGGGTTTCTTATGGATTTTTTGACACTATTCTCCCTATTTGGAGTTTAATTTTGTAAAATACTATTTTGATCTCCATGTGTCCGAGTTGCTATGTGTAACTTAGGAATGCTCTTCCTTCCACTCGTAAAGCAGCTGTACTTACAAACAGTCCTTGTGTGCAGAGATAACTACAGAAAAAGAATTCCTGCCAGGTTAAGGCCATTTTTTTTTTTTTGTTAGATTGGGCCATCAGAGGAACGTACCTCGACTGTTGGTCGGGTTCCAGCCCTTTTGGTTGGATTCATGTGAAGAAAGTAAGGTGTGGTACCACACAGCAAGCAGCAGGCAGAAGAGGAAGTTGAACTCTTGCCAAAACCGGAGTATTTCTTCCCTTTTTTTTTTTCATGTGTTGTGTTGGAGCCTTTTTTTGCTCTACCTGCCCCCAACACACCGCGTCGGGCGGCGATTTTGCTTCGCTGCTTCCAGTGAGCTCCTGGTGCAGAGCTTGATGGAGTGGCTGCTCCTCTCCTCCGGTACATACCGTTCCCAAAATCTTCGACAGCGTTTCCTAACTTTAATCACTTCAGGTTTGTCAGGTCTAACCCCGTCTGTTGTCCTTCTGTGCAGAAGTTGGTGGAATAACGCGGAATGACACGACCATCCTCCGGCCGGCCGTGCTCCAGGCATTAGTCAGGGTGTTTGTCTGCCTGGGTTTTGTTTGCTTTTAATATTCTCAAGGTGTCAGCCAGCACCCATTCCAAGGTAGTGGCTGCTGCCAAATGGACTTCAGAGGGAGCAGAATTAGATGTCTGTCCAAAATAACAACATTTGATTTTGTTTGGATGATTGTCTTTAATGTTTTGAAATCGATGAAAGCTCTTTATATGAATGTGGAATCTGGTGTCTCTGTTTTTTTTGTTTTTTTTTTTTTTTTTTTTTTTAAAGCATGTCATCACAAGATGGAGTTGCAGCTGTCTTGTTCTTCTTTTTTGCTCTGTTATGTTCTTCTTGTCTGGTTAAAAATAGCCTGGGAGGAATCACTCTCGACTGAACACTTCCTCTTTCAAACTACAGATTTTTTTGAATTTTATTAAATCATTTATAAAAGCATGCAAATTAGGAGCAGTGGGTTTTGCTGTGATACAATGTGTATACAGCAGTTCTGTCCCTTGCCATTCTTGGCACACCACTCCTCTCCCACATCAGGTGTTAAACAGATTTATTGGGAATTTGCGCAAGTTTGTAGCATAGGAACTGATGTCACTTGAATGTCAGCCTTGGTAATTTTCTCCATAATGCTGTATTTTTGCATTTGGAGAGTTCTCTTAAACTCTAATTCTGCTGTTACTTGTTTCTGAGGAAGAGGCACGTTTCCCTGTGGAAAACACGGTGCAGAGCTGGGGCTCCTTTAGCGTGAGAGAGACTTGGTTGTACAACCACAAAGTCCTCAATTCTGATTCAGGGTCAAAAGCCAGATGCAGATTTTGTGCTTGCCTTCCATCTACAGATTGAGGCACAGGTATGGAATCTCTGTGCTCAATTTGACTGTAGAGAGATTTGAAATTTGAGCACCCCTTGTGTCTCTGGAAGGATCCTCGTGGTCACCGATGGCTAACGTGGCACACGAA